ATGCCGCCGCTCGTTCGCGCGATCCGAGTAGAGGAACCCGTCACTAGCCACCAGCAAGAGATGTAGGATGCGTGGTTCGCAGACAAATACGGGGATGAGAGTATAATGGTCCGAGGACGAGGACACGGTGCCACGGCCTCATCGAGGAAGAGATAAGGACCGCCGGGGCGATGTCGACGGACCCAGTTCCATGTGTTTAAAAGAAGCCAAGTTTACAGCGTCACGCTAAGCGCCAGGTGCGACGTCCCCATCACTTCTTCTAAGTAGAGGGGGAGGGAGTGAGGTGGCAAGTAGCCACTGAGTTAGAGTCACGGCAAGAAGCCGCATTATAGTTTTTATTATTTTGTAAGTTTATAAGAATTATAAGTATTATTAGTAAGTAGGACAAGGAGCCGTTTCCAGTATCGATATGATATAAGCATTGTTAAGCAGATTTCATTGGAATAAGAATATAGTTAATTAAGGGCAAGGAGCCAAGTAGTTCTCAAGGGCATAATTTAAGTTCAAATTTAACCACTGGCCGCCGCAGCAACCTTGCGTTTCTGATCGGTTGCTCAACACCGACTTCGAGAGCGCAACTTCAATTCGGTGGCGAAGAGCGAAAGCTCGCGGCGAAGTTGAACGCCTTATGGAGCGGGCATCAGGGTGAGTAGACGTGTGTCGAAGAAACAGCCATAACCTTGAGTGTACAGCGAAGCGCTAGGGCTCCAAGCACTGCGGCAGGGTCTTTGCATAGTAGGTGGTAACGAAGCCCGCTAGTTCTTTTTATAAAAAATTACATTTATCTCGAGTACCTTACCTGGTGTGGCGTGTAGTGGTACGAGGCTGCTGCCCGTCACCTGTGTGAGCAGTGTATGTGTGTATGGTTCGAGGCCCCGGCCCGTCACCGATGTGCACAATCCCAGCTTTGTGTGTATGTATTTTGTGTTTTTGTATTTGTTAAGAAATGTGTTGTAACTTGCTGGCCTGGTAGGATTGAGATTTGTACCCCGGCCAGTAGGTCTTTTATGACGCACAACTCAACAAAAATAATAAAATAAAGAAGTTAAGCGAAAACTGTAATAGGTTTGAAGTTATACTAAGTAAAGGCAATGTCACTTAGGAGTAGTAGTAGAAGAGTTACCAAAGTAAATATTATAATTCCAGTTTAACAACCGACGATCAAACAAGCCAAGAGAGCCCAACTTAAACATGCATCGTTTCTAATAATATTTCTTAAGATTTGTCTTGTTCTTTTTTAAAACTGAATCAATAAACGTACCAGTGAATTACGAATATCATTATTTGTCCGTTAATATAACCAAAACAGAACAAACGTATAATAATTTAATAAAGCATGCTGAACAGTATGTATATATAGCTTAAATCAAATGTTTAAAAGAAAATTATTAAAGAGAAATGAATGGCATAGGAATAGCACACCACGATAAACGCGGCCTTGCGAGCATTATGGGAACGACTTTTAGAAATTTTCGTAACTTTTAATCACAATGGCTAAAAGCAACTCATATGAAAAATTCATCATTTCCCACAATCCTAGAAAAACTGTTTAAGCCCTAGTTTTTAAAATACTGCTACATTCTAATAACGTTAAAACTGTTTTAACATAAACAAGTATGAAGCTCTAGTCGGGAGCTTTCTAGGGGACAACCTAAACCCTCTTCTACCAACGTCAAATGCAGCTCGCGCTACAAGCTCGTTTGCTTTTGCAATAGTAAAAATAAATTTCAAAAATAAAACACTTCCTTCAATAGAACTCAAACTCGTTACAAACCACACTACTTGCCGCCGTCTCTACCCAACATCCACACCAACTATTCATCTCTATTTATATAAAACTGTTTGTCCCAACTGACTGACTGATTGAGGATCAAATCAGCACCCCTACCGCAAAAGCTAGGAAGCTCAAATTTGCACTGTAGTTACCTTATGTGATGATGGTGCACGTTAAGACGGGGTTTCGTGAAACTCCAACCGCATGTGTGGAAAAATCGCGTAAAACGTTTGTATGAAACTTTTTTGTTTATCATCCGATCGGCCTCAAAATTATTTTTAAAGATCTTTGTTCAAATTCATTTGATGGGTGTTTCACAATTATCCGAAAATCCATCTCTCCTTGGTGGAAATGGGGGTCAAAGATTTGGTGGGTAAAGTTTCGATCTCAAATTTATATCTAAGGATCTATATGAAAAATCATTTGAGACGCGTTTCACATTTTTTGCAAAGCCAAAGCATCCTCGGTGGAAATTGCGATTCAATTTTTTTTTGTAAAAACTAATTTTCAAAGCTCTACAAAATAACTTAATGAATACGTGTTTCAGAGATTTGGGAAATTTCACCGAATACAGTGTTAAATTGACGGAAAACGAGTATATGAAAGTTTTTTGTTTACCGTCCGAATGGTTTCAAACTCATTATCACAGATCTTTGAGAAAATTTATTTTATGGGTACCACGGGCAAGTCGGGGGTATACCCGCTAGTAATGAATAAAATAAGACGAATTTAAATAGCAGCACGTACACCCAGCACGGAAAACAATACAATCGCAATTGCAATTCATAGAATTCAATAAAGACGCGTATGAATGAATGTGTGTACATGTGCACAGAAAATCATGCGATTTGCGACAGCCGAAACACGTTTATATTAATAACTGTTGTGTTTCTAAACCGATCTTGATCAAACTTTCCACAATATTCTTACCGTGTTATACGATACTCTTACATACTCAAGAAGGCAATAGCATTTTAATTGTGACCTCAATTAGTGTGTAGTTACAAATGATTTATTTATTTGATTTATAGCCATGTGGTGGTAGCAAGGAGGTGGCGATACAAGTCATTTTTGGTGATTCCAACTCTAAAAACTTAAGAGAGTTGCTCAAAAAACAGAATTTTGTTATCGATTTTTTGTACTGCGCGGGCAATGGAAGGACCTACATTCCAAATTTGAAGTCTATATCTCTTAGAGGTTAGATCGACTTGGCTATTGATGCTAATTAAGAATATATATACTTTCTTGGGTTGGAGATGCTTTCTTCTGCCTGTTACATACATTTGCAAAAACATTTACCCATTTTAAATAGGTTTAGGGTATAACAAGTAAGAAGCTCTAGTCGAAAGTTGCCGACTAGGGAATACGGCGAACCCTCTTCTACCAACACCAAATGGTTCTCAATCGGACTCGAACCCCTGAGAACCGCACCACTTGCCACCACCTCTACTCGACAGCCACTTCAACAATTTATTTTCGTCGTGGAAAAAACGAATTAAAAAATCCGCACATCCACACATCACAGTTGTTGATAGATTTCAATAAAGACCCGAATGTATACAGAAATTTCTGCAATTTGTGCTAGATGCTGCAGGCAAAACACGTTTTCTTTACAAACTTTTGTGTTTCTTCTCTAATCCTAATGACATTTTCAACAGTAGATCTTACAGTGCTATAGACTATTCCTTTATTCTCAAAAAGACGATTGCATTAAAATTGTGGCTTAAATTGGTGGGTAGTTAAAATCGGCTTATTTATTTGATTTGTAGCTATGTTGTGCAGGGCAGTAGCGATAGCTATAAAATGAAAGATACCTGATATATATGTATATATACTATTCAAGAAACTACAAGTCAAAATTGGTGACTCCAGCTCTTATTATTTACGAGATTTTCTCAAAAAAACAGGGTTGCTTGGAAATGGGAAAGTTTTCGATTATCGGAAACAAACTCGTAGTGCGTGGACACTAGGATGACCCAACAAAGTTTCAAGTCTCTTTGGTTCTGATTGCTCTTATAGGTTCTGATATCCTTGCGTTCATACATACGGACGAACGGACCGACAGACAGACGGACATGGCTAGATCGACGGTTGATACTGATCAAGAATATGTATATACTTAACGAAGTCGGCGATACTTCCTTCTGCCTGTTACATACATTTTAACAATAACATAATACCCTTCTTACTCATTTTTAATGGGTACAGGGTATAAAAATACATGACAAATATTTCATCCAAAACAATCAGGTTTATACAATAGCTTCTAAGGATTTAATCTTAAATAAATGCATCATAGAGATTTAAAATCAAATATCAACAATGTTTATACATCAAAACTTAACTAACTAACATTTTGAAATAAACTATGTAGAACGAAATATATGACTAACTTGGAATTTGCTAAAAACATTGCCAAACAAAAATTGCACAAAAAAAGAAATAAGATAAGCGATAAACAATATTGTAAAAGCATTTGACGCCTCTGTCCATCTAGGGGCAGTTTTATTATTATTATTATTATTATTATTTTTATTATTATTATCATCATTATTATTATTATTATTATTATTATTATTATTATTATTATAACTATTATTTTTATTATTAGTATTATTATTAATATTATTATCATTATTAGCATTGTTATTATTATTATTATTATTATTATTATTATTATTATTATCATCAGTATGCCAAGAAAATATTATATTTAAAAGAAATAAGAGGTTCTAGTCGGGAGCTCCCGACTAGGGGATACCCTGAACCCTCTTCTTCCAAAATCAAATGCATATATATATTCTATTTTAGAAGCTATATGTCAAGTTTGGTGAATCTAGCTCTTATTATTTTCCAAAATTCCCCAAAAAACTGGATATCGATATAGATTTTATCGATTGCTTGGAAACGGAGTAAGTTATCGATTATCGGAAACAAACTCGATCTGCGCGGAAACTAGGAGCATCTACATCTAATTACAAGTCTCTAGCTCTTAAAGGTTCTGAGATCCTTGCGTTCATACATACGGACGGACGGACAGACAGACGGACATGGGTAGATCGACTCGGCTATTTATGCTGATCAAGAATATATATACTTTATGGGGTCGGAGATGCTTCCTTCTGCCTGTTACATACATTTGGCTTTCGCACAAATACAATATACCCTTACACCCATTTTTAATGGGTTCAGGGTATAATTATATTTTATTCTTTTTGATACTTACCAAATTGAGGGGAGCTTTGTGGAGAGAAAACCATAACTGTATTCCCAATAGTGGTTGTGAAATCCAAAAATCCGTAAACTGTTTGTGTTAATTTCGGAATATCAGTACAGGACGCTAAAATTATAAAATAAACATATTTATATAGTTCCGTAAATTTAATAATAGATTAATAGATGCTGATGGATAGACACCTCGGGCTAGAATATTTTGTACATACTTTTCGTGATATTCTGAAATTTATAATTAGTGTAACCAAATTTATCAATGACAAAAAACTTATAATTATAAATTTTTGCAATGGCAGTTTGCCACATATACATAAGTAGTTTCAAACAACAAAAGCGCGCCGCAAATTATTTGGTCAAGCACCGAGTGAGTGTTTGAGCCAGCATATTGACATGAGGGCCCAAGCAAGTATACAGGTCGAGGATTTGATGAAGAAGAGCGCTGCACTTAAGCACGAAATTGCAGTGGTCAAAAACTGGTCAGGTATATGTGAGTACATTTACGTCGTTTAATTGAATTTGATCGGAGCTTTGAGTGGATTTGATTTAAATGCAATTTTGAAATTTCGAAATATAGAAATATTTACTACGCCACACGTATTGGAGAGTTTCCCGATAGAAGCCGAGTATTTTTTTAATTGTCGCGCGCTTACCCACCTACTGCTATTTATGGATCAGGAAGCCCCTCTAACACCAAACGATCTACTTAAGCGCGTAGCCCATATACCTGACACACCCACCATCGACGAGCAGCCAGAAGAGAAATGCGCCACCAAAAAGCAGTGGAGTGTAGCGCGGCTATTATGGGACCTTTTTTGGAAGAGGTTGGTCTTGGAATACTTTACTACACTTGTGCGTCGCGTGAAATGGTGTACTCGCGTCGAGCCAATGCGCTAGTTTAGCCACGGGGCGAGTCATCAGTTGTACTGGATTGTCGTCGAGCCAATGCGAGGCTCAGAATTTATTGCCGTGACTGACTGACTCAGTCAGTTGAAGGCAAGAACTAACTCGTCTCTGAACCTTGTAGTATCGCTCTACACTCATAAATTCATACCAAGTCTGTGCGTTTGCAGCATGTTCGACCAAAGTGTGAGCGCTATTCCAAGCTCTTAGCCAAGAAGAGGAGAACGTGGAAGTCATGAAGTCCATGCAAGCAAAATTTGACCACTGCTATTTTATTAATAAGCAAATAGAGAGCGCAACCGCCCCCGCTCCCGCGCCATGAGCCTGCAGTCTCCTCCCCGTGGCAACCGTGGCAAGGTCTCCTCTCACAAATGATGGTTTCTCATCAGCATGGAGTGACTTAACTGACAGATTTGAGTTAACAACCAACTACGTCCTCTTCAATCTTCAGTCAGATTCGCAGAGCTTCATCCAAATTGCTTGACAGCTCGCAAGCACTCTCGCATAAGTACCGTGAATTGTGATTACCTTTTATTTTACCTGTGCGCTTCTAAGCTATTTAAGCTAACACTTACGCTGTGGGAACAGTCGTTGCACAATAAGGTTAGAGGGCAATAAGGCGATAGAGGGCATGAAGCCCAGCACAAATGCACTCCAGAACCGTTTGAAAGGAGCCTCCTACAAAAAGGATTAACTCCTTTGAAGCCAAGACCTTTGAACCAATGAGTACTATCCCTGTTTTCTGCAGAAGTCTGTCGGTGAAGAGTCTAATAACATAAAACAGCAAAACTTCTGCCTAAACTCGCGAGACGGCTTTAATTAAAAGATTGCAAAAGTCCACATAATTGTGGCAAGGTCACTAGAACAAGCTCCCGCATCGTGGCAGCCCCCCTTCAGCACCCGTCACAAAGTAACCGCTTGCAGCCCACTTCCTCCTCCAATGTGCAGAGCTATATTGCTACAAACAAGCAAGGTGTGCTTCTAGGCATGGCTATTATCAACATTTGCCTTTAGGGCACTTATTACACGGCTGATTTGATCTGCTCAAGTTTTCTTGCCATCCTTTCCTTTCCATCCGGTCCCCACAAAAGTGACGGGCTCAATTCAAGTCATCTCTTCTCACTAAGTTTTGGTAGGTTGGAGATCTGCCAGCCAAATTGGTAAAACAGTCAGACTCCGTATACGAAAGAGTTTTACGCGCACCAAAAAAGCGGTCTTATTTTAAGAACCCTTAAGAACCCTCACCACATCAACTTGGGACATTCGAGGTCCATCGTACTCGCGCAGTTTATGAGAAACGAAAGTCGTTGCCGAAAGAGATCATCTGTGTTTAGACCAATCCTTGCCAAGCCAAACGGAAGCAAACATAGCAAGAATTATTCGAAAGTTAAGCTACTCTCACTAAGATACGCATCCCCAAATGGGTTCAGTTTTCCCCTAAAGCCAAGTTGCTACGCTACGTCCCGTGAAATGCCTCTGAAGTCTCACATCCTAGATGTCTTCTTCGAATTCGACAAAGAACTTAGAGTCGTGGCCTTTGTATTTTGCTTCATATTCCATTCGCAAAGGAATTCTGCAGTATTGAGCTATTAAGCAACGCTCAAGAGGAGCTAGTTGTCCATAATCAACATATTGAGTATCCCAAGAAGTATCAGCATTTGCTCGACAAGCATTGGGAAAAGTTGAAGAGCTGAGCGAGTTCAATACGTATGGTAGGCGAATCACGAAACAGCTGAAATATTTTGTTTTACTTTATCTTTTACTTCTAAATCAATCCAAATCAATCGGCAAGTTCACAAGGTGATACAACGCCAACGGGCGATCCCTCGAGTTACCGCACAATTTAAAGCCAGCTGAACCTCATCTAATACATCTTGCCAAGACCTACTGCTAGTTCAACTGCAGTTAATAAGATTCTCATGATGCGTTCTGCCTATCCATTTGCTCTATTGGCACCTGTCGCGATCAAATGTACATTTATTTGTTATTTAGTGAATTTAGTGCTGGCAAAACACCTTCCTTGATTTTATCAGAGATAGACTTTTCAACAAATTTTCGAATACACATAGACATGTTATTAATCCAGTAATTATAGTATTATGACAGAGTAAACAGTTTTGAACCCACGATGTCACATCCTTTCTCATAAGTGATCATACGTATTTGCGAAGTATTTGATGATTGGATGGAAGCCAAATAGCTATAGAACAGTGGCTGTAGTACATACGACAAATTGAAAATTTTGATGATCTGCAATTTGATTTGAGTGAACCTTGTAATACATATTGAAGATCACTGTCATTGAAAAATAATTGCTCCTTGAAAAGGAATTTAGAGAGACAATGCATCGGACACTATGTTATCAGTACTAGGTACGGTTTTATGTTTGTGGAATATTACGAAATGAAATCAAGGTGACGCGTGTAGCGAGGTGATACTTTATCAGGCTTCTAAGAAAAAGCATATATAAATGGTTTGATATCTTTTAATGACAAAAACAATCGGGGGATATGTAAACATATCCTCCGGGATATGTTTGATACAAGGTTTGGCCTCGCAGATAGCTAATAACTCTCTATTATTTGGACTGTACAATTTATTAGGTTTTCCTTGCATATCATATTAGCATAATAGCAGCTTGTGCCACGGAACACTTGCACGCTCTAAATGCATTTATTATCTGCTCAGTGCTTTCGATTTTGGGCTTGTCGTTCTGTTTCATGCCCCTACGAACTTCGATGTCTGGTGCTTGAATTCTAGATGCATGACGATTATACACAACGATGATAATAATCAATATTTCGTCGATATAGCAATCGACAAAGTCAATGACTCTATATATGCTGTCCATCAACCGTTGAAATGTTTGGCGACCGTTCTTGAGACCAAACGACATATGAAGAAATTATCTCCTCGTCGGCCATAAGACTTTAAATGTAGGCGCGTACTAAATCGAGATAAATAAAACGTCGTGAATATTGTTTAACCAAAGACAATAGAAAAACTAAGATAAGTAGCGTCTTTCAACAAAATAATGAGTACGAAATCGAAAGCAGTACCTTTGCGCTCTCAAACCTTAAAGAGCGAAACACTAAAAATAGAATGTACTCTCAGCCTCGGCTCTATACATAGACCAAAACATATTTACTGTGGGCTTTCGTCATTATGTAGTTTAATTTTGTAGACTTAAGCTGATCAGCTATTATATGAGAGATCAGCTTCAATTTTAGTGATCAGTGACAACTATTGGTGAATATTGGTGTAAGTCAGCGTTAATGAAAGGTCACCTCAGTGGACGGTGGAGGTCTAAATTGCGAATCAGAACGTGCATGTGATAAGTCCGAATCGTCGATTGATTTGCGGCGAAAAGATAAGCATGGATATCACGGACAGAGTCAAAAAGCAAATGTGACTTTGATTTACGGTTAAAAATGGGGGTTCACTTGTTATGGCATACAAAGATGCGCTCTCCATGTTAATGTTATACAGCTGCAGCCTACCAACGATATAAAACTCTTTGTGGAACCAGCATATATTTTGTTGTTTTGCTTAATGGATTCTGTTGGCATTTGTACGGTGGAATTCATGTCTGCTAAATTTGAATTCCACATTAGCGGATGCTAGATTTTGCAGATGTGGAAGCAATCAGAAGGAAGCATCTCCGAACCCATTGAGTAAATATATTCTTGGTCAGTATCAATAGCCTATTTATGTTATGTCCATCTGTCTATCTGGTCGCCCGTCCGTCTATCCATCTGTCACACATAATTTAATTTACCGTGCTCTGTGTATGTGAGCAATACTGAACAAATAAATCAATTAAAATAGCAACATACAACTGCAGAGAATACAATACAACCGCAATTGCGATGCCGTTGATATAACTCAAGAAAGATGCGTGAGAATCTGTGTGTACATGTATACAGAAATTCCTGCGCTTTGCGCTAGCTACTGTTGATACGTGGGCTGCCAATATATACATATATAACTACGTGTTTTCTTAAATAACTTTTGTTTTTCTTAACCGAACTTGATAAAAATTTCAAAAATGGATTATGGAATATTTGATTATTATCAATATTCTTAATTGCATTAAAAGTAAGTATATTTAGTTGATTTTTAATTATGTTGATATATAGTAGCTACATGTCAAGTTTCGGTGATATAGCTTTTATAACCTTCGCGATTTTCTCATAAAACAGAATT